TTTAATTAAGAAAGAACTTGTATCGCTGAAATTTCTCGGAAAGAAATTTTACGAGAAATTATCAAACAAGCAGACATGTAACAATATCTAATTTTTTTTATTAAGTCTTAAGGTTTGTAAAGCAATGTTTTTGTTATGGCTTTTTTTTTCTTTTCACATGTTGCCTATCTAACATGCAAAGTAATTTTCATTTCAAGATTAAAAATACTTTTATGCATCAAAAAGTTTTCGATTTCACATGCAAAATCTTTATAATGTCCAAATAGTTATCAAATGTTTCGTAAGAAAAACTTTATATTTCATCTGTTATTTTCAGTAACAAATTTCTGTATGGGTTTGGTAGATTTGACTGATCTCATAACCACCATAACAAAATGGGAAATAAATATAAATTATGCCTTCTCATTCTAGAATGACAACAAATTGTAATACGAAAACATAAATGTTTAGACTAAATAGCTTAAATCTCATAACACTATACATTTATATATATTTATTATTTTTGTTATATAGACCTTTCAGCCGTGCCTGGCTAACAATACAGAAGTTACAATGATGCGGCACACATGCTCTTATGTTACTGTATCCAATAACATAAAACTGACCTTTAGTCTTTACAAAGTAACTTGTCTTGGCTGTATTTTAGTAAACTAGTATTTTGTAAAATACATTCACATTTCAATTATTATACATTATATATGTATATAGATTATTGCTACTTAGAAGTAAGTTCTAAAACTTATTTTTCTTAAAATATAGAACAGTAAATAAAGAAATAAAGCAAACAACTGTCTCTTCTAGTTACAACTTTTGTACTTAGTTGCTGCATGATGTAGGTTGCTAAGCCTTTTAAAAATTTTTATTTGGAGCATATGAAACAAAAATTTTTTTTAGGTTTTATATATATATACAGCTGAATTACCAAAAAATCACAGATTACTATATCAATACCATAATATACCAAAACTAAGCTGTATTTCGGTCTAAAAAAATATGAAATTTCGAGCAGACTAAAGACACAACCTACCTCCTTGAAATCTTGGTTCGAAAGTACAAGCTGGTGTCCTAACAATTTAAAATGGCTGAGAAAGCCACTAGGGGGACATTATGAGCTTTCAACTGGTTATTCACATGTCATACACAGAAGTAAGTGTACCCAAGGGAGGATTTCCAAAAATGGAAGAAGGGGGCAGGGTGCCACTGTATTTGATTCAGTACATGAGCGATATCTTAGCATATAGAAGAGATAAGAGGTTCTTATTTTATATTCTAGTTTGTCAATTCATACAAAACTATAGACTCAGTATTTTGACATCATAAACACCTAATTTGAACCAGTGCTGCATTCAAGATACCAAGTGACATACAAAAATAAATGTTCAACTTTGTTTTTTTAATATTTACTTTTAAATTCAGAATTTGAATAATGTATAATACCAAAATTTGAATTATAACGTACAGTTTTATACCAAACTTATTGACATAAATTCATGAAATAGTAATTCACTGAAATTTTGAATGCGAGTCAACAAAGGCGATGACATGGCCTCTGACCCGTCTGGAAAGGGTTAACTGGTCAAAACCTAATACTACTGGTCATGATAAATAATGGAAATGTTAGACAGCCATTCACCACTGGTAACTCCATAAAGGAACTTTGTTTGACATTAAAATTTCATAATCATAATAGTGGGCTTATTTTTTCCTTTGTTTTTTATTGCACCATTTTTGTCTTTGTCATTACCTAGAATTACTAGTATAATAGTTTATTTCCACTAGAAAATCCTTTATTTTATACATTTCTATAAAACGTTATAATAACCCAATCATACAAGCATGTTCAGTGTTTGTGTTAAGATTTAAACTTTTTGAGTTCATGAGACCCAACCATTATATATCCCCAGCAAAAACAATGAGGTTGTCTTATATTTTTTCGCAAAACATAAAAACAGCAGATCTTTTAATTTTCTTATCTATTACTTGGTTCGAAAGTACAAGGTTTTCCCATGAGTTC